GAACAAAAAAGCAAAAACAACTAAACATGGAAACATGGAATACAGGAATTGGGCTTGCATTACAAGGTCTCTCTTCTTTTTTTAACCATTTTTATTTTTCACTATGTGTATAAAATCATTGGGTCAAAAAATAGTAAATAAAATTAACCTAGGATAAGATGGCCTTTTCTACACATTTACCTGAAGAGCGTAGCTGAGACCCAAAGCCCCTAAAGTGGAAAGCAAGGATCAAAGTTCCTTTTGTCCTCCAGCATCTCCGAGCCGTAGCATCAATGCTGTTGTGTCTTGGGGAAACACAGTCAACACTGTACTGTACTGCATGTCTGCTATGCTCAGGGCCACCCAGTCCTCCTTCTTCCCTGACTCGGTCCCACCATACCAGCAGCTTTAATCTTGGGATTAAAGTTTCAGGGCCTCACATCCCCAATGCTAGAGAGCATATCATCCTACTGACATGGGCTCCACGGAATCCCTTTACTAAGGCCTAGTGCTGTGCATACACAAGCAGCTGACATGTACATCGGCTGAGATGTGATTGCACCCATCATGGGTTGTAACAGAAGTGGAGACAGGAGTCTTGGAAAAAATGGAGACCACACAATCCCCACTATACCCTTTTCCCCTCATTGCCTCAGCCAGGACAGTCAGCCTAGATAGTCGGGCTGCATGACTCTCATGTTTCCAAACATGTCAAAATATCATATCTGATCTATATACATGCTTTGGGGGAATAAAGCAAACACTTAGATATGGATAAAAAAAATGGTTTTGTAACATATTAGAATTAGGAAGTGGACCATCAGAACAATTTTTTTAAATATATAAATAATAAAAAAAACTTCCAAAGGGGAAAAAATTACGACTCTAAGGTTCACCTCTAATTCAGCCTAACTACAAGAACAGCAAAGGAAATGTAAAACTACTCCCAAAGATACTTGACACCATGCCTGTCTTCTGATTTAATTCAGAATGATGAAAAAAATAAGAGACTTGAGATTGAAAACCACCAGATTAATGAGTGGACTTACTTTGAATTTTAATTTCTACATATTTATTATAAAAAGATTTTCTTAAAAAGACAGATAAGTTTGCTGGATATTAGAAGATATTAAGGAATTATTTTAAGAAGAGATAAAGGGGAAAATACAGTTTTGAAAAGACTTAACCCATTCTATGTAACAGGGAATTTGGAAAATAGAATCCTGATTCCCTACCTCCCCAATGAATTATGTGATTTTGAGCAAGCTTTGAAATCAATCTGTTCTTGGGTGCCTCCATGTAACTGGGGACTATGTTATAAAAATTGCTGTGAAAGTCAATAAGGTGAATTTTGCAGAATCCACAAGGCAAGGCTGGCTCATAATGAACTGCTTCACACCTTCCAGGAGTTCTTTTCAGGAATTCTTTCGCCCTACTCTCTCTCTCTCTTTTTACATTTCCATGTGTTCTGAGGACATTTACTTCATACTTTTACTACCTATTTATTTACTTCTCTTTATGCCAGCACTAAAGAACAGGTCATTATTACAATGCTTAACAGTGCTTAACCTTTATGCCCAAGACCTGCCCTCATAAAACTAAGCCAGAAATCTAGGTAAATAAAAGTCTGGTCAAGAGAAAACAAAAGTAATTCAAGGTCTTAAAATAAAATTCTTCCATTATGAGTTCTAGATCCACAAAAGCAAATATTAAAGAATTCAAAAATACTTCCCCTAACAATACCTCCTAGGATCTTCCATGTACCTTAAATACAAGTACCACAGAAAAGTGATACAAATATTTGATAATTTTGGAGTTTTTGAGGTTGTGGTATCTTGATCTCTTTTTACCCAATAGTAAGATTCTTGTTGTTGGGGCTGGGGATGTGGCTCAATCAGTAGCGCACTCACCTGGCATGCACGGGCGCTGGGTTCGATCCTCAGCACCACATAAAAATAAAAATGTTGTGTCCACCAAAAACTAAAAAATAAATATTAAAAAATTCTCTCTCTCTCTCTCTCTCTCTCTCTCTCTCTCTCTTAAAAAAAAAGATTCTTGTTTAAATCATTCAGAGTGTTACTCCTGTTTGCTAGCTACCTACTAAGGCATGTCACAGGTTATGGGCAGAAGGAAAATAGTAATGATGACCTTCAGAGGACAAAAAAAACTGTCCGATCCCAGGACCACACAAGGTGCTATGGCCAAGGTTCACGTCTCTCTCTTCACTAATAGATTCAAGCATCATGTTTCTCCAGCACAAGCAGGTTCCCTTGACCATGCATGGGCACAGAACTGCAGTAGGGCAAGTGACCGCTAAGTCATATGTTCATCAGGAAGATGGCACCCACCTTGTAGAGTTGGCTGCAGTTGCCTTTACAACTCTCCTCCCCAAACATAACTTTACAATCTACAATGAAAAACAACTCTTCAACATAGACTGGCACCAGACCACAGTGGAACTAAGCCAAGTCCCCATGATTTGAACAGAACACTAACAAGGTCTTGGCTTACCATATTTTAGTTTCCAGGAATGAGGCATAAAACACAGATCTTTTATGATCCAAAGGAAACATAACTGGGACTAACTATTCAAGCCACTATTGAATTTGGCCACATAACTTTAAAATCCACATTTATCCTTCCATTCCACAGATACAGGAATACTACTATGTACCAGGGTTTTGCCTGTAGCTTAGAACACTGAACTACATAATTCTTGCCCACGGTCCAGTAGAGGAGACAAACTGAACAATGAAGAAGAAACAGTACCACAAGAAAACCTCTCCATATAGAGACCACAGACTTTGAGTAAGTCTTGGCACTGCCTGACAATGGTACTACATTTCCCCAATCCATCTACTCTTCCATCACTTTTACCACCACCACAATTTAATCTCTAATTTGAACCTGCCACCTGAACTCTAGAGGTCCACATATAAATGACAACCTGATCTCTCCTTTGGATGTCTAATAAATACCTCAAATATTGAAGTTAAAATAGAATTCTCAACCTTACCCAACTTCCAACTATTTTCCTCCTCTGTCTTCTTTAATCGGTGAATGATAACTTCATTCATCCAGTTTTGCAAGCCAAACCTTGGGTCCTCCTTGACTCTGTTCTCTTCTACATCCCATATCCAAATGTGGAACTGCTTAACTGTATACAAGCTCTGATTATGCCTTTAACCCTCAGCTTAAAACTGGTCAGTCTTTCCTACCTTTCAAAATGGGTTGTCTTCCCTCTCCTTTGGAGCACCCTGGAATTCCTGTTTTTTTTTAAAATGCTGCTTCCACGACTAGACTGTGAGCATCTCAGTATAATCATCTTTATTTCCACCACTGTTTTGGCCTCATATAGTATACATCAATATGCTCTTGTTTGATGGATGATAATAAATTCATTAAAGAATAAATTGATTTCTTATATGTTTATTTTGTTTATTTTTTTATATGCTGCTGAGGATCAAACCAATTGCCTCACATGTGCGAGGCAAGTGCTCTGCCACTGAGCCACAACCCTAGCCCCAAATAAATTGATTTTTTAAAAGCCCTGAGTTAGATACTTTTCTAGTTGTTGGATACACAACAATGAGCAAGTCTCTGCCCCAAGGACTTTATAGCGACCAGCCACATGTGGCTTCTGAACCCTTGAAACGAGAGGCACACACCAGACCTCAAAAATTTAGTCAAGTAACTCATTAATCATTTTATATTGAATGAATTTTGAAATTCAAATATTTTGGATATATAAGGTTAAATAAAAAATAGTATTGAAATGAACTTTTCTCTATTTCTTTCAGTAAGAATACTAAAAATTTTAAATTATGTATATGTCTCACATTATATTTCTATTGCACAGGGCTACTCTGGGGGGAGGAGATAGAGAGCAAATGACAAATAAAAATACATTCACATTTGACATAAAGACATCTGAACTCAGGGCCAGCAGCTGGGAACACTGCCAGGAAATCCGTAGAGAGCCATAAAGATCAGCAGAGCAGGGAAAAGAGGTACCATAAGGTCACTTCAGAAATGTGACAGGTCCCCTCCCTGTCACAGCTTTGATGGGCAGCTGCTCACTCTGTGAGTTGCACGTATGTAGAAGAGTAGATGCGAAGACCTAAAGGCAAGGGGACGGTGAAGATCACCTTAAGGTCTGGTAAAGAGCAATGAAAGCCAGACTAGGAAAAAGGAGAGGAGAGATGTCAAGGAGGCAGAATCAGCAAGGCTTGGCCTGAATGTGGAGACCAAGTCGAGGGATAAATTATTAAGCCTCTGAGGTTTTGAGCTCAGTGCAAATAAAACTATGGAATTCCAAAGGATGACTAATATATATATATATGAAGAAAGGAGCAAATAATGACTTAATATTACGTTTAAACACACCAGGCCCAACACATAATCTCACTGTGACTTCTTCCAAATTTGGGCACAACAGTATTTCCAAAAACATCCCATGAGGAAATATCAACTGCAGAAGAGTCAGGAAACTACCTCCTGGAGGGTGGTGCTGGGCTAGCTGATCCCATTCCAGCCCCATGGTCTGCTTCCTCATAGGGGGTCTTTAGACTACTTTCCCTTGACCATGGTCACTGAGATTTCTAACAGAAGATTATACACACACACACACACACACACACACACACACAAACGAGTCTAATTCTCCCAGGAATTATGCTTCAGTTATTCTTCAGTAAGATCTGCTAACAGGAAAACTAATGCCAGGGGCAAACTTAAAACAGCCATCATCACCAGAGACCACCTGTTCTACAGCTAATCACAACTCACAGGGTGAGCAGCCCCAGCAAAACCATGACAGGAAGAAGGTAAAGTCACATTTTGGAACTGGTTTCATGATGCCCAGCGTTGCAGCTGACAAGCCTTTGCACAATATTAATTAAGCCTCCCTCTTAAATATAAGGATGTACACAAGGCATCTGAACTCAGAGCCAGTGGCGCGCACACACCTGGGTGCACATCCACACCTGGGTGCACACCGTCAGACACTGCAGGCAGCTCACCTTAGTCGTTCTTCCTCTTTTTTTCGAAGATTGAAGTCTCTCTGAACCACCTGGAGGACATGCTCTGTTTCATCATCCGTCAAGCCGGACAGGTCCAGCTTCCTCCCCATGATTCAATATCAAACACGGACAGTGAGACAAGACCTGGGAAACCAAAGGAGAAATCACAAATTGAGGACAAGACGAAAGCTCTATATGGAAAAACATCAACCAGTTCCATCATTAAAACAGAGCTAAGTACAGAGTTTATATTTACATGTAAATAAAGGAAGCGTCTTTCTCTGCCCTCATACTCAGTCAGTAATTATATCTTCAGCAAAGGCTGGGAAAATGAGAAGATAACTTATCATCTGCCAATATTATCATTCTGACTCTTAAATGAAGATGAAAGAAATGATTCTAGTCAATAAAATGAACTATATACATCAGATTTTGTGTGCATTTCCATTAAATGACAAAAAGAAATATCCAAGAATTCTTAATTTCTGTGGCTTGAAATTTTAAATTACATATATTATATGTAATTACAAAATAACAAACTATAATGTTTTTCTGAAAAAGTAATATGTATACTATGTTCCTCAAAGTTTTAATCATATAACTATGAAATAAAAGCTAGACATCAAAAAATCTATCTTCCAAGAAAGGAAACAAAGAAAGAAAAATAATTATTTTGCCATTTTCTCAGGAGTAGAAAGGATGATATTTCAGGAAAACATCTCCCAGTATCATATACCTAAAAATTATGGAAAATTCTATAGGGGTGGGTTTTGAGAATTAAACCCAAGGTAAGCATATACTCTGCCATGGCACTATATCCCTAACCTGGGAAACTATGCTTTTAAAAGTGAACTTTAATGAATGACTGTTACTAGAGATAAAATAAAATCACATATATATTGCCAGAAGATTCTTCAGAACTGAAGGCCATCATAAACATAGATGCAAACAACCTTAACATAATATTAGCAAAACCATTCCGGCAAGATTTAAAGAGGGGACACCATTATCCTAAGTACATGTATGAAGACATGAATGGTGTGACTCTACTTTGTGTACACCCAGAGATATGAAAAACTGTGCTCTATATGTGTAATATGAATTGTAATGCATTCTGCTGTCATATATAACACATTAAAAGAAAATGGCAATTCATATATAATACAAATGACAGGGAAAAAAGATGTAAAGAAAATTATATACCATGACCAAATAGGGTTTATCTAATTCAGTTTTCTCATCATTCAAAGAAAAATCCATTTAATTCATCACGTTAACATAAAAAAGGAAAATGCCATGTGATCACTTTAATAGAGGTAGAAAAAAGCATTTCACAGAATCCAAAACTCAATCATGATGGAAACCCTCTGCAAACCAAGATCACAAGGAACTTCTTCAATCATATAAAGGGCATTTACAAAAGTAAAATCATTTTTTTAAAAAAATATGCAACTAACATTGTACTCAGTGACAAAAGCCTGAATGCTCCTTAAGATCAGAAAAAGGACAAAGACATTCACTCCCACCACCTCTACTCACTACTAAATGCCCCAACGGTAATGCTATATTAATCAAGAGAAGCATTGGAATCTAGGTGGGTGCATCACTTCCTTACAGGTCTCAAAGGCAGCTGGAAATTGTTCTGTCCTCAAAGTCCTGGCACTCAGGGCCTGTGATAGGAGTGGCAGCCTGGAAGATCTCCAAATTATCCTCTGAACCATTCTTCCATTCTCTTGACAGGTAACATCAGCTTCTTTACATATCTGCCAATCTCCTTATCAAAGTTCACTTGGCCACATCCTTGGCATTCTCTCCTGAATTTGCCTTTTCATTCCAGACAACAGGGCCAGGCCAAGAATCTTCCAAATCTTTAAGCTTTGCTTTGCCTTTGATTATAAATTCCATCTTTGTCTCTCTCTTTTCACATTTTATTGCAAGTAGTCAAGAGAAGCCATGCAGCACCCTCAATCCTTTGTTTGCAGGTTTCTTCTGCCAAATGGCCCAAGGTATCATCTGCAAATTCCACCTTCCACAGAGCATAAGGACACAGAAACATTTCAGCCAAGTTCTTTGCCACTTCATAATAAGGACCACCTTGCCTCCTGCTTTCCATGCCTTGTCTCTCATTTCCTCCGAAGATAGTATCAGAATTGCCTTTACCATTCGTCTTTTCAATATTCTAATCACAACCACTTACGTAATCTCCTAGAAGATGGAGGCTTTCTCTACAATTCTCCTCCTCTTCAGAGAAATCACCTTTAATGCTCCACTCAAGGCAAAATAGGCTTCTTCTAGTATTCGTTTGCAAACTCTTCCAAATTCTACCCTCTTTTCAGTTCCAAAGCCACTTTCACATTTTCAGATATTTATTATATCAACCTCCATTTCTCAGTACCAATTTCTGTCTTCGTCCACTCAGGCCACTTAGCAAAATACCTTAGTAAGCTGAGTAATCTATAAAGAGTTTCTCTCTGGAGGCTGGGGAGTCTAAGATTGAAGTGCTAGAAGATTCGGTATCTGGGGAGGGCTGCTCTCTGCTTCCAAAATGGCACCTTCTTGCTGAGTTCCCACATGGTGGGCGGGCAAACAGTGTAAATGTGTGTCCTCATGAGAAGAGATGCAAAGAGGAGGCAGCTCTCTGGAGCCTCTTTTATAATCCCATTCATGTGGAGCTCTCATGGTTTAATTACTTCCCCAAAGGCCCCACCTCTTTATACCATCACATTGGGGAGTAAGTTCCTGCATGAATTTGGGAGGGGCACAAATTTCACAAACGAGGCTTTTTCTAACACCTACCTCAACACTCTTCGAGCCTCTACCCATTACTCACTTCCACATTTTTAGTTACTCATTACAGCAGTACCTTACTCTTTTAAAAATAATCTGCATTAGTTTAGTTGAATTGCCACAACAAAGTACTTCAGACGGGATGACTTAACAGAATTGTCTTTCCTCACTGTTCCGGAGGCTGGAATTCTGAGATCGAGGTGTGAACAGAGCTGGTTTCTTCTGAGGCCTCTCCCCTTGGCTTGAAGTTGCTCATCTTCTCCCTCTTTCTTGAATTTTAGAAGGACACAACCCATACACAGTCCATACCAGTAGGCATAAAGAACAATGGGATAGAGAGTCTGGAAATAGGTAAACACAACAAATTATACTGCAAAGATGCCAGGGTAAATCAACGTGAGAAAGGAGAGTCTTTTCAACAAATGATTCTGGAACACCTGAATATCCATCCAGAAAAATAAAAGGGACATCAACCTATATATCAACTCACACTCAAAAAAAATTAATTCAACATTTATCATAGAGGGTAAACCTGAAACTATAAAACTTCTAAAGAAACAAAGGGAAAAACTGTGAATAATTTTAGGGTAAGCAAAGATTTTAAGACACAAAAAGCATTATTCAGAAAGAGTAAATGTCATGACTTGGACTTCATTATAATGAAATCCTTCTGCTCTTCCAAAAACACTCTTTAAAAAAAAAATCAAAAAGCAAATCACCAACTGAGAAAAAAATATTTGCAATAAACATCTCTAACAACTTGTATCCTGAATAGGTAAAAATTCTTCCAACACAAGAAGAAGCTAATTTTAAAATAAGCAAAAGACTGAAACAGCTACTTTACAAAAGAGCATACACAAGTGGCCAAGAAGCCCATGAAAAGATATTCAATATAGGGTAAACACTAAATGAAACTTTAGATAAAAGGTGTAAAAAAATCTGCAAGAGGTATAATAAGGAATCAGTTAATTTTTATATAACTTTGTAGAAAAATCATGTATGCAAAACTATTAGAAAAATATTTTAAAGGTGGGTAATAAATTTGAAATTTTGGAAAGAAAAGACAAATTCTTAGAAAACTATATTTTATTAAAATTGATTTGGGAATAATTAGAAGAACAAAACAACTTATTGTCATTCAAGAATATGAATCAATCAATAATACTTCCCAAATACATCAAACTCAAATGATTTTTCCAAATTCCATATGTTTAAGGTAAAAAAAAAAATGCACAGAAATGAGGGAACACTCTTCCATCCATTTTATGAGGCGTATTATTTAACCCAAACCATACTAGAATGAAGATATTTTTTTAAATGTTAGTTTCATTCTAAATTAATTACAAAAATGAAAACAAAATATTGGCAAATCAAACATATCAATGAATGTAAAAGATAGCACATAATGACCACAGGAAGCCTATTCTAGTAATACACGGTTGATATAACTTGAATACTGGTTCATGTAATTCAATGACTCACTAATTAAAAAAAGAAAACACAGTGATTATTTAAATTGATATAGAAAAAAGAAATCCCATTCATGATTTTGAAACGATAAAAATTCTTAGCCACATAGGAACAAAAGGAAATTTCCTTAAATCTGACAGAGAATGTCAACAAAAAATGAACTGAAAATATCACACTTATTAGGGAAACGTTGAAAATATTTAGAGAACATCTACAAAAAGTACACTGGTGACATCAAACTTAAGAAGAAAACATGGAAAAAAGATTCTTTTGAAGATTCTCATAAAACACATATATGTCAGATATTACCAGATCTAAATATAATACTGGAAAATCTAGACAGAGCTATTCAACCAGAAAAGGAAATAAAAGATGCAAAGATGGCAGGGGAGAAGAAACGGAACTCTTATTTGCCAATGATACTATTATATATGTAGAATTTATAAAAGAATCTACTGGCAAGTCATTGAAATTAATGAGTTAAGCAAAGCAAGGAACACAAAATCAACATATAAAAACTAAATGCATTTTATAGACTAGAGTAAAACAGAAAATATGACAATGATTAAAACTGTGTGATTTAGGAAAACCTCAGCAATGGAGTACTCAAGAATAAATTTAACAAAATCTATGTATCAAAGGTCTCGTACAGAAATTATAAAACTTAATTGAAAGACTTTTAAGTTAATCTTCATGAGCTGGAAGATTTAAGTTAAAAATGTCAGTTTTGCCAAATTGATCTAAAGATTCAACACTATTTCAGTCAAAATCCCAACACAGATTTTGTGAAACTTGGCAAGATGGTTCTAATATTTATACAGAAAGCAAAAGGCTAAAACAGACTGAGACTCCTAAAGAAAATGATTGATGTGTGTGGGCATTTAATA